GTGTCTGCCTCTCAGAGAGATATGGCTACTGTGTGTCTGCTTCTCAGAGAGATATGGCTACTGTGTGTCTGCCTCTGAGTGATATGGCTACTGTGTGTCTGCCTCTCAGAGAGATATGGCTACTGTGCGTCTGCTTCTCAGAGAGATATGGCTACTGTGTGTCTGCCTCTGAGTGATATGGCTACTGTGTGTCTGCCTCTCAGAGAGATATGGCTACTGTGCGTCTGCTTCTCAGAGAGATATGGCTACTGTGTGTCTGCCTCTCAGAGAGATATGGCTAATGTGTGTCTGCTTCTCAGAGAGATATGGCTACTGTGTGTCTGCCTCACAGAGAGATATGGCTACTGCGTGTCTGTCTGTCTGTCAGAGAGATATGGCTACTGTGTGTCTGTCTGTCAGTGAGATATGGCTACTGCGTGTCTGTCTGTCTGTCAGAGAGATATGGCTACTGTGTGTCTGTCTGTCAGTGAGATATGGCTACTGCGTGTCTGTCTGTCTGTCAGAGAGATATGGCTACTGTGTGTCTGCTTCTCAGAGAGATATGGCTACTGTGTGTCTGCCTCTCAGAGAGATATGGCTACTGTGTGTCTGCCTCTCAAAGAGATATGGCTACTGTGTGTCTGCCTCTCAGAGAGATATGGCTACTGTGTGTCTGCTTCTCAGAGAGATATGGCTACTGTGTGTCTGCCTCTCAGAGAGATATGGCTACTGCGTGTCTGTCTGTCTGTCAGAGAGATATGGCTACTGTGTGTCTGTCTGTCAGTGAGATATGGCTACTGCGTGTCTGTCTGTCTGTCAGAGAGATATGGCTACTGTGTGTCTGCTTCTCAGAGAGATATGGCTACTGTGTGTCTGCCTCTTAGAGAGATATGGCTACTGTGTGTCTGCCTCTCAGAGAGATATGGTTACTGTGTGTCTGTCTGTCAGAGAGATATGGCTACTGTGTGTCTGTCTGTCAGTGAGATATGGCTACTGTGTGTCTGCCTCTCAGAGAGATATGGCTACTGTGTGTCTGCCTCTCAAAGAGATATGGCTACTGTGTGTCTGCTTCTCAGAGAGATATGGCTACTGTGTGTCTGCCTCTTAGAGATATGGCTACTGTGTGTCTGCCTCTTAGAGATATGGCTACTGTGTGTCTGCCTCTCAGAGAGATATGGCTACTGTGTGTCTGCCTCTCAGAGAGATATGGCTACTGTGTGTCTGCCTCTCAGAGAGATATGGCTACTGTGTGTCTGCCTCTCAAAGAGATATGGCTACTGTGTGTCTGCCTCAAAAGATATGGCTACTGTGTGTCTGCCTCTCAGAGAGATATGGCTACTGTGTGTCTGCCTCTCAAAGAGATATGGCTACTGTGTGTCTGCCTCAGAAAGATATGGCTACTGTGTGTCTGCTTCTCAGAAAGATATGGCTACTGTGTGTCTGCCTCTCAAAGAGATATGGTTACTGTGTGTCTGCTTCTCAAAGAGATATGGCTACTGTGTGTCTGCCTCAGAAAGATATGGCTACTGTGTGTCTGCCTCTTAGAGATATGGCTACTGTGTGTCTGCCTCTTAGAGATATGGCTACTGTGTGTCTGCCTCTCAGAGAGATATGGCTACTGTGTGTCTGCCTCTTAGAGATATGGCTACTGTGTGTCTGCCTCTTAGAGATATGGCTACTGTGTGTCTGCCTCTCAGAGAGATATGGCTACTGTGTGTCTGCCTCTCAGAGAGATATGGCTACTGTGTGTCTGCCTCTCAGAGAGATATGGCTACTGTGTGTCTGCCTCTCAAAGAGATATGGCTACTGTGTGTCTGCCTCAGAAAGATATGGCTACTGTGTGTCTGCCTCAA